GAGATGAGGTCTCGTTGCCCAGGCGGGTCTCAAACCCGCGGGCTCAGGCAATCCACTCACCTCAGCCTCCCAAAGGCATGGGATTACAGACTGAGCCACCGAGCCCGGCTGCCAACAGATTTTTTTAAAAATCAAATGTCTACTCTACTGGTCATAAAAAGGAATCATAGATTAAATTCACTTGAAATTTAAAAAAAAATGTTTAACTGAAATTTTATTTGACCCTTCACTTTCATTTGGAGGTGCTGAGAAAAAAATGTATTTCTCATATATGCAAAGCATTTGTAACAACTTTCTTTTAAATATTAATTAAATATTTCTTTTAAATACTCATTCCTAATCCTCAAACTTGTAAAGTTCAACAGTACATCATCCAGATGTGCTAATGGCACAGAGCGCCTGACTCATGTTGGGTCCTCCACTCTCTAGGATATGTTATCACTTAACACAGCTGTGCATGCACAACACGCACAGCATGAGGTGGACAGTCTCTTCGGAGACTTAATACAGTACTACACAACAGAAAATGGAACACACTACACAAACATGAAACACACACACACAGCCAAGTAGAGTCAGCCCTAGAAAATCCCTGATGGCCTAATCCTGAGCCACAAGGTTGGACTTAATCCCTTCTGGGAAATAAGGCTGGGCCCTACTGCTAATAATTACCTTAACGAAGCTCCATCTGACAGTACACTACTGGCCACTGTAGGTAGTAGTCACCTCTCTTTGGGTCACATGGCAAAGAACAGTATTTCTCAAAGCATAAGCCAGTTAGCTACATTTAAACCACTTGGACTTATTAAAAATGCACGCTCCTGGGCCCTGCACATGGAGATTTTGATGAATGATTCTGGGGTGGTACCCTGAAATCTGCATTTAAAATTTTCATTCTATGAAACATTTATGTAGTTAACATAGCCAAAACTATAAGAAGTCTAGCTTTTATCACTGTCCATTCTATCCTGTCCTTTCTTTTCCCTTCTGCTATAGGTATCGTTTTAGTAATTTTTGGATTATCCTTCCATTGTTTCTCTGGAAAACAAGTAAATATGTATGGACAATACAGATATACAGACATAAGTGTATTTTTAAAAAAATATTTGTCCTCAGAGCAACCAAAAGTCTACATTTTTAAAAGGTTCTGAACATACATTAAAGTTTGGGAACCAGGCTTCAGAATCAGCCATGATTTACTGGACATGTGACCTTGGAAATATTTCTTAAATTCTCTAAGCTCAGGTCCTTCCTCTGTAAAATGGAGAGGTGGTTATTTCATAAACTGCCTAATACAGATCATTACTTAATAAAGGAAACTGATTATCATTATTATTCATATATTTAATTGATCATATAATCATTTCATTAATTAAACAAATATATAATGAACACCCATTGAGTCAGGAACTGTTCTAGGCACCTACAGCAATATACCAAAGTTCCTGCCCTGAGGGAACTTATATTCTAATGTAGAATGAGAGAGACAATAATAATTAAATATACAAAATATCAGTAGATGGTGACCTGTGATTAGAAGATAAGGTTAAGAAAACAGCACACTGGTAGACATGGCAATCTCTTCTATTTAGGATACTTAGAGAAGGTCTTGATGATTTAGGTCTCATTCTGTCACTCAGGCTCAAGTGCAGTGGCACAATCACCACTCACTATAGCCTCGACCTCCTGGGCTCAAGTGATCCTTCCACTTCAGCCTTCCAAGTAGCTGGGATTATAGGTGTGCACCATTAGGCTCAGCCAATTTTTTGATTTTTTTTTTTTTTTTTTTAGAGACAAGGTCTCGTTATGTTGCCAAGGCTGGTTAGGTGACATTTTAGCAGAGATCTGCATGAAATGAGGCATAAGCCATATATACTAGGGTGAGAGAGTGCCAGGCAGAGGAAATAGCAAGTGCAAAGGCACTGAGGTAGGTCTGTGCTTTGTGCATTCATGAAATAACAAGGAAGACTGTGTGACTGGTCTCAGAAAGGAGTATGGCGTAAGACTACAGGAAACAGGGAAGTAACCAGGGCCTGATCATATCAGATGTTGCCAGACATGATGAGGACTTTGGAAGTTACTCCAGTTGTGATGTGATACAACTGGAGGGTTTTGAGTCTCTACAAAAATCTGAAGTGATCAGATTTAGACTTCCAAATGTTCATTCTCTGTAGATAGAAAACTGAAAATGGTACAAACACAGGTGAATCAGAAGATTACTACAGTAATTCAGATGAGAGATGATGGTGCCTTCATCAAGAATAGTAATAGTGGAGATGGAGAGAAATGACTGGATTTTAGAGTTATTCTGGAAATAGAGCAAATAAGATTTGCTGATAGATTGGATGTTTTGTACAAAAATGAGAGAAGTCAAGGATGATTCGAAAGCTTGTGCCCTTAACCAAAGAAGTAAACAGAAATGCCACTTGCTGAGATGTGGCATACAGGAGGAGAGGTGTGTATGGGGGGAGTGAAATCAAGAACTGTTTTGGCCATGCTACTACATACCCAAATGAAGATGTTGAAAAGGTAGCAGGATATACAACTTTGCCATTTAGGAATAAGTCACCATCATTGTGTTCTCATTTCTAGTTCCCAGGAGCTAGAGTGTGTTGTCTCTAAGACACCTTTCAGCTCAGATATTATTCAGTCCCATATGACCTGGCTCCTGGAGGTTCCTAGATGAACTTCCCATCTAAAGGTATAATGTATATAAAAGGGGTACAATAACTCCTCTACATACCAACCTTCAAATTACGAACTTTAAAGGTGCACATCTGCTTTTTTTTATGCATTATTTCTTTCCACCAGGAGTCAGCATAGCTCATTAAATTCACACAGTTGATTGTATCAGGTGGGTACCTAGACTAACTTTGTTGGACTTAAAACAAATTGGACTTACAAATGCATTCCCAGAACCAAACTCATTTGTATGTTGAGGACTTCCTCCACTGACTAGAAATAGCAATAACTATTGCTGCTAAAGTCTGGAAATAAAGTACTTTTGCGGCAGGAGATCTCTTTTAGCCCAGTATCTACCATAGCACCCTAGGAAGCAAAGAGCATTTCTCCTGTTTGGTGGGTGATCAACACAGGCCAAAAGCTACCTACCACTTCAAAACTGTGTTCCTGAAAAGCACAGGTACAAGGAATCTTTACTGTGACAAAGTGGAGCTGATGAGAGGTTCTAGGAAAAATATGTACCATTGTCCAATAGGGGATCGGAGTCAAGGATTCTGCAAGCTAAGTCAAGTGTGGCAACAACTGCATGCATCCTTTGCAAAAGCCTATGTCCTCAGCCAAACTGGGTATCTCCCCTCAATGTTGCAATGCTAGGCAGCATAAGTCTCTAGTATCATTTATCTTGCGTGATACTCTGTTCATACTTCTTTGTCTCCTACTACTGATTGTCCTAGGAGTACAGGCACTGTCTCTTTTTTTTTTTTTTTTTTTGGTTTTTTTTTTTATGAGTTGGAGTCTCACTCGGTCGCCCAGACTGGAGTGCAGTGGCCGCTCCCGGCCACCGCAGCCTCGACCTGCTGGGCTCCGGCGATCCTTCCTCCTCAGCCTTCCGAGTAGCCGGAATTACAGGCATGTGCTACCACGCCCGGCTGATTTTTTGATTTATTGTAGAGATGAGGTCTCGCTGCCCAGGCGGGTCTCGAACCCGCGGGGCACTGTCTCTTAATCATCGCTGCATTCCTGAAAGGATGGCCCATATAGACATCTAACACATATCTGATGAATGAATCTCTCTGTGAAGAGTGTCAAATCTTTCATTTTTTAAAATTTCTTTTTTTCTCCTTTATTTAAATTTTTATCAAGAGCATCTAATAACACTAATTAAGGTACTCTTGAGATGTCTGAAGGAAGTAGGATTCTCTCCTTAACCTAAAGGACTAGAACAGCTTACTGTGGAGGTGTGATCTTATAGAGGCCCAGAGCTGTGAAAGGAAGGGGGATATACGTTCACATGAAAAGCTGCAGTGAAAGAATCCCACTGAAGAGGTCATGAAAAACTCTGCAAGGATGGCTAGGTGACACTGAAGAGATGCTGCACAGGATGGTAGCCACCACCAAGATTCCAGGAGGCCCATCATGGGTACCTAGCTCAGTACAATATCTGATTAAGGTTCCTGAGTGACCTTTTAATGTTCTTTGATTTCTAGGACGTAAAGATTAACGGGAATGTTTGAAATTATTTGCTTGGTCTTTGGGGGCTGTTATTAGACCAATCACTCATAGATAAAAGCTCACACAATGTTCATATTTAAGAGTCAAGACTCCTGGAACCTTCATTGCACTTCAGAGTACACAAGAGATGACACTGTCTCCTGCACTAGTCAATCCCAAAAGGACTATGCAAATTTTTATGGGTTAGGTTTCATGAACGTCTGGAATGATGCTCTTCTATCTTCAGAATTAGGTAATGTGAGCACTTTGGATATAAAGTAATCAACCACTTGGCCAGATTAAGAGGCTAGAGTAGCTACATGAGTTACCTTCAAGAATGAGAAATTCATGAGGAATGATCACTAAGTGGGGGACAGCATATGATGTTAACTTGCTCAATGCCCCCAAAAAACCAGTGTAATCTTTCATCTAGAAAACAACACAGTAATCTGAACAAGTTCAAGTCCCTGGCACGCTGAGAACTTCCCAATGATTTGCCCCTCTAAAATGAACACTTCTTGGGAATCAAAACGGGTCAAAGCGAGCACAGTTTAAAAGGCAAGCTCAACCTCCAACTCCGCACAGAGTGCAAAGGCAAGTGGAATGTCTTTAAATGACTGGATACCTAGGGATAAACTAAGCAACCTCACAGACATCGCTGTCTATAGCCGGTAGTCACCTCTCTGTCCTGCCTCACCCCAGGTCCCTCTTGGGCAGCATCCGATCGAAGCCCTCACAAATGAACGCCTGTCCACGTCCCCGGCCTCGCAAAAGATCCGGGCCGCTTCTGCGCTGACCCCGCCTCGGCCCGCGGCCCCTCGGCTCACCCCAGGCAGCCAGACAGTCGATCTGCAGAGGCAGCTTTTCTAGAATCGGCACTGGCTCGAAAGCGTCGTGCATGGCGGCGAGGAGAGAGTTGCCGCCGCCGTCTCGCCCCAAGTCTGCCGGACCAGGTTAGGGTCCGGGACAAGGCTGGGGGAAAAGAAAACCGGGATACCGCCCGGAACCCCACTACAGATCCTCCGGCAACACAGCCATCGCCACCCCGACTTCCTGCTGGGTAAGCCCGCCCCTTCCGCAGTCGAAGCCCCGCCCCTTCCTCCCTGGCTCCCAATGTACTCTCAAGGAATTCCCTGGTCCCTAGGTTTCCTTCGTCGGCCTGGCTCCGCCATCCAGAATAGCCATGGGCTTAATAAAGGAGGAAAAAGTTCGAAGAACAGTTTTAAGCAATGAGCGTGGTGGGTAAGAATTCGGGCTTTGGCATCAGACTGATCCGAGAGAAGACCTGCTAGGAATCTTAATTTTGGAAATTAGCTATATCGTTTAGGAAATGAAATCTTTTCAAGGGCTTACTTCCCTACTCTGCAAAATAATTTTACTGTAGTAAATTTCTATGACCTGGCGTCGTGAGCGCTTAGCAACACCTAATACACTTCAAGCTCTAAATAAATTGTAGCATTAGTATCACTGTATCCAAACTAGTTCAAGTATCTTCCCTTTATACTTTCAAGGGTGTTCTAGACCAGTGGTTCTTAAAAGTGTGGTCCCTAGATCAGAAGCATCAGTATTACTTTTGAACTTGTTAGAAATGCAGTTACATGCCTCACTCCAGCTTTACTAAATAAAATTTTGGAGGGGAACAGCAATCTAGTCCATGCACTCAAAATCTTGAGAACCATCATTCTAGGCTAGGGTTTTTCAACTGTAGCACCACTGACATTTAGGACAGGATAATTCTTTGTTGGGGGTGGGGGTGCTCTGTGCAACGTAGGATGTTTAACAGCATCCCAACCTCCACCCACCAGATGCCAGTAGCACTTTTCCCCCAAGATATAACCAGAAATGTCTCACTTTGCCAAATGTCCCTGGGATGCAAAACTACCCTGGTTGAGAACTACTGTTTTAACAGTACATGTAGAGATATTGTTAAAGTGTAGATTTTGACTCAGAACCAGAGTACAACCTTCAACTGAGTACTTCTGACAAGCTTCCAAGTGTTGCTAATGTTACTGGTCCCTGGACCATTCACAAAATGAGTGGCAAGAGTTTAGGCAGCAAGAGTTGACTCACTAACTATTGAAAGTCAGTAAGATAAACTTATTTTCAAGTTGTTGATCACATTCCTATTCATCCGACTGTCCTAAGCTGTGTTTTACATCCTAGTAATTCCTTTTAGGAAGGTTTAAGTGTCATGGCTCTTTCTTCTTATAGGTATGTACTGTTTAAGGTTATATTAGTACCCCCTGGAAACTTAAAAAACAACAAAACTGAGTTTGAGCTGTAAGAATTACCTGGGTCTGGTAATCCCCCCCTAAGGAAACAATAAATAGGTCAAAAAATTAAATATTTGAGCTTAAAGCAAAACTGTAAAAAAAGGAGTCTATGATAAAAAGTTAAAAAAACTGGTCCTGGTCACTTTTATTTAAATAATGTAATGTAAGTTTAATAATGTAAGTTTCTTCATATGTAAACTAGGGATACTTGTCCCATCTTTACCAGAAGTTTTTCTGATAAACAGATGAAAGCATATATTCAAGTAGTTAGAAACACAAAACTTGCTAAACAAATTTTGTGTTATGGTTGATTTTCAATACAGAAGCTTATCACCTTCTTGAAATCGTAGTAGTGCCAGCTGCTCTACTGGAAGAAAGTCTAATAGTTCCTTTTAGCTCCAAGTCCAAGACCAAAATAAATAATAACTCTGGTCAGTTGCAATAGCTCATGCCTATAATCCCATCACTTCAGGAGGCTGAGGCAGGAGGACTGCTTGAACCCAGGAGTTTGAGACCAGCCTGGGCAACATAGCAAGATCTTGTCTCTAAAAAAACCTTTTTTAAAAAACCCAAATCTCTAAGGTAGCCAAGCTTAATTTGATACCTGGGCAACATAGCAAAATCTTATCTCTACAAAAAGATCATAAAATTAGCCAGGTGTGGTGGCACATGCCTGCAGTCCCAGCTACTTGGGATGCTGAGGCAGAAGGATTGCCTGAGTTCAGGAGGTCAGGGCTGTGGTGAAGTGCCACTGCACTTCAAACTAGGTGACAGAGTGAAACCCTTACTCAAAAACAAAAATCTCTAGGTAACAGGTCAACGTAAAATAATAAATTCCTTCTGACCTTTCCCAAGAAATGACATACTATATCCAATCCCAGTAACACAGGAAGTTATAAGTAAAATTATCAGGCTCCAGGCTATAGAATTTGTACTATATAATCCTGCTTTAACACAATAGGTTTTTTTTCCTCTAATCCCAAATCAACATCAAACAAGCCTCAAAAAATATTTTACCAAGTATCTTGCTGCATTATAAGCATTATATATATCTGTTAAGTTTTAATACACAACTGTAGCACACAGCAATACCACCAGTCTTTGGCTAATGAGTTAGTGTAAGAATATAATCAAATCTTCAGATTGTTGTTTCTTAGAGAAATTGCCTAGGCGAGTTTTTTAAAAAATCACCAAAGCAAAGAGTTGTAGAGAAACTACATAAATGGTAACACTTTCACTATAGTATGAGTTGGTGAAGACTTTGGTAATGTGGTCATTGGTTTCAACAGAAAATAAAACAATCTAGAAAAAAAAAGCCATGGAAAGAAAATTTTCATGAGAGTCTGGGAGAAAGAAGGGCCTTCAGAGAGATTAAAAACAATGAGAAAATATTAATTTTGTTAACATTTTTTATATTAAAAAGTGGCATGAACTTTTTATGTAGAACAAAAATCTTGGGAAGGCAAAACTGGATAAAATCATTAAAACAGAAATAGAGTGCTTCAAATGAATCCCATCACCTTGTGATGTCCCTTATAAACAATCTCTAAACCAACACCAAATACCAGAACAGTCCATCCTAAGGAGCGAGCAGCAGTCCAGGGCTTCCACATTACTTCATGCAGGAATAACTATGTAAATTAAGCCAGTAGGTCCTGTTTCTTTTGTAGAAGTTCCCTCTTCTGAAGCATTTGTCGTTCTAGCAGGGTGCTCACCTACAGCACTTAAATAGAGCACTTCTCTGCATCAGTGCAACACCCAGTGAATGGCATGAAGGCAAACAAGACATTGCCTAGGAGCCTGCAATGACACCCTTGAAGGCTTACAAAACAGTAGTTAAAAGTCTCGGAGTGTGCACCACATTGCCAGCAATGGGATGTGTCACAATAGCAGATGTCAAAAGAGTTAAGCTAATATTTCTCTTTAAAGTACATCTGAAATAGAAAAATCTTTAATATATACCATTTGTAAACAAAATTGCACTTGATTTTGCTTTCTTAAATGATCTGAATCACATTGTAACAGTTTCTCTCTTTTTCTTTTCTGATCATTGATAGAACCATGGCTCCTTAACTCAGAAGGGCCCTTTTTTCCTCAAAACTAACTTGGCAAGATGTAATCTTGTCTTCCCAGGAAAATGAAAAATAATTAACAATTTCCCCCATCACCTATGTAACTCCCTAAATAAATAAAAATTACAAGCAGTTGCTCCTGGAGATTACATATTATGATGTTGATGACACAGTCCTTTAGAAGATGTTAAACTTTTTAGTTCAACAGATTAAACAAATGAAATATTATAGAAAGTTCAGGAACAACACACATAAGTTGCATGAACATCCATATCAGGATCTGGGAGGGAAAGGGGCATCAATGTTGTAAATAAGAAGCTTGTAGATTTTTCTCATCCTATGAACTTGTTTTCAATAAGATAATCTCTTTTTTCTGACACCTCTCGCCAGCTCCAATGCCCCAAGATCAAGGAACAGATCAGGATGTCATTGCCTCCTTTAATCCCAGGGAACAGTGTAGAAGACTGACACAGAAGCTGATCTCTTCCCTGATAATAGCCATCTTCAGCTGCAAATCTTCCCATTCTTTACTCCATTTTGGACCTTTCAAAGTGTGTGATCATTCGTTCCTGGGGGGGAAAAAAGGTTTATTCTAAGTATATTAGTTTAAAATATTCTGTCTACATTCCAAATATCCTCTACATAGACTATCCAAAAAAACGTTTTCCACAAGTACTTGTTTATGTTAATTATTTGGAGCAATGGTTCCTAAACATCTAGGAAGATTTTGAACATCCAGTTGTCTCGGCCCCACCCAACATCAACTGAATCAACATTTTCTAGGCGCCTAGAATGCAAATTGCCAACTCCAAAAATAAATGTATATATTAGAACCAATTAAGATGATTAAGCAAATATTTACTTAAGACTAAGCTTTAATAAAAATTTGTACCTTCTCTAATTTAGGAATTTAACTTGAAGATCTAGTCAAGGATGTAGACAAAGATTCAGTCATAACACTCAGCATTGTAACAAAATAATAGAAAGAACCAAGTGTCCAAAAATATAGAGCTGTATAAACAATGATATATTCTTACAATGATATATTACAACACATTAAAATTACATTTAATAAAAAAGTTCCAGAGTCCTGTGGCACAACAATGTGCATGCAGCATTTTACACTTGACAATGATTATGAGGGAAGATTTTGTTAGGTGTATTTTACTACAACTGTCTTAAAAATCATGTTAAAAAATTACATTTGATTATAAAATAGTATTTACAGTGCCCCATTTCAATTTAAAAACACTAATGTACTATTACCATTAAATTTCCTTTCTTATGCAATTTTTTACCTTAGAGTTACTTTTTTTTCATTTTCCTTTGCTTCATTTGCTAAATACTTCTCACAAGTGTATCTTCATTTGTTAAATACTTCTCACAAGTTCTATCTCTGACAGAACTATAAATCCTTCTTGAATATGATCAATGATATCAGATAATCTATATACTTTTCACTTTTATCTTAGAAATAAATACCCCTTCTGAAGCTCTCTGTTCTCCCACTCCATCCAAGCCTTTGGCCCTGCTGCCACCCTGAGAATGTCTTACATCATAATGGGACTTCTTGTCTCTCAGTGTTGGACCCTTTATTTCCTACATCCCAAGTCTTTCTCTTAGTTTCCTCATTTTTGTGGAGAATATTTTCTACTACTTTCCTGAGAAAAACACACATAGGATGTCAATCATTTTGTTTTTTGTGTAACTGAAAACATCTTTATTTTACCCTCATATTGATAGCTTAGTTGAGTATATAATTCTGGGTTAAAAATAATTTTCCTTAGAATTCAAAGGCATTGTTTTGACTTCCAAAGTTGCTGATGCCTTTCTGATTCCTGGTCCTTTGCATAAATTCCTCTATAGTTCATTTAAGTTCTTTTTCAGCTTCTAAAAAATAAAGGCCTTGGAGAAAATGATGTCAGTAAGATGGCAGAATAAGAAGCCTGGACTCTCCTTCCCCCCCACACACACACTGATTCAACAATACACAGAACAATTCCCCTTGTAAGAAGTCTAGAAACCAGTTGAGGGGCCCCCTTACTACAGGTGAGCATGAAATCAACCATATTAAAGCAAGTAGGAAAATCTGAGGCACTGTCTTGCCATAACTGACCCCCTCCATAGCCAGCACAGTACCACATGATAGGGAGGAACCACCCTCCCCAACTCCTAGCTTCTCCCTGGGGATTAAGAGAAAAGACTGGAATGTACATCCAACTTTCTGACTTTCCTGGAACCTGCCTGAGCGACTGCTTTCTGTCTTGCCTGAATCTGAGGGCTAACAACAAAAGGTTACAGGTTGGAAGTTGCTGAAAACAAAGGTAGAAGTTTGGACTAGCAAGCAGGGGCTAAAACCATAGCCCCTCCCATAGCTCAGTGCAGAGCAAGCAGGTGGAAACTCCCCCCAAATCCCAGCATCTTCCTGGAGAGTTGGACTGTAAATCAAATGTTCCACCTTTTTTGGGAGGTTTTTCGAGGGGATTGGCTTCTTGTCTGAAAGCACAGAAGAGATCAACACACTTTAGGTGCCTAGGGGCCAGCGTGACATAAAAAGAGCTAAGCTACTGTGCCACTGCTCCAGAAGACCTGTGGTATAGCAGATGAACACTAAAAGGAACAAGATATTATAAATTAATGGGAGAAAAAAACCCCAACAAATTCCTCAGATTAGAAATTTAGATGCAGAAGTCCAGAGAAGATGCAATACAGAAAGGGTTTAAGAAGCCCCCAGAGCCGGGCTCGGTGGCTCAGCCTGTAATCCCGCACCTTTGGGAGGTTGAGGTGAGTGGATTGCCTGAGCTCGTGGGTTCGAGACCCGCCTGGGCAGCGAGACCTCACATCTACAATAAATCAAAAAAATCAGCCGGGCGTGGTAGCGCATGCCTGTAATTCCGGCTACGTGGAAGGCTGAGGCAGAAGGATCACCGGAGCCCAGCAGGTCGAGGCTGCAGTGACCAGGAGCAGCCACTGCACTCCAGTCTGGGCGACAGAATGAGACTCCAACTCAAAAAAAAAAGAAACCCCCAGAATCTTGGACCAGGCTGACCAGTGAGAGTATTCTGTACAAGTCTAGTCCATGAACACTGAGAGAGGTTGCTGGTTTTTGTTGTTTTGAATCAGGGTCTCACTCAGTCACCCAGGCTGAAGTGCAGTAGCACCATCAGGGCTCACTGCAGCCTCAACCTTCTGGGCTCAGACTACCCTTTTACCTCAGCCTCCTGAATACCTGGGGCTACAGACATGCACCACCATACCTGGCTATTTTTTTATTTTTTGTAGACATGAGGTCTTGCTATGTTGCCTAGGCTGGTCTCAAACTCCTGGATTCATGCCATCCTCCCTCCTTGGCCTCCCAAAGTGCTGGGATTATAGCCCTCTGAGCCACACCTGGTCAGTTGCTCAAAAACTGTTAAAACTAATAAACTAATAAATGGCTAGACACGATGGCTCACGCACTTTTCTCCCAGCACTTTGGGAGGCTGAGGTGGGCCGACTGCTTGAACCCTGGAGTTTGAGACCATCCTAGAGAACATAGCGAAACCTCATCTCTACAAAAACATCAACCAGGCATGGTGACGTGCCTATAGTTCCAGCTACTAGGATGCCAAGGGGGAAGGATCATCTGAGCCCAAGAGGTCGAGGCTGCCATGAGTTGTGATTGTCATGATTGTGGTACTCTACTCCAGCCTGGGCAAGAGAGTGAGACCCAGACTCAAAAGAAAAACAAACAAAAAACCTAACAAATGAATTCAGTAAAAGTGCAGAATACAAAATCAAAATTTTAAAATTGCATTTTTTAAGTTGGATTCTCACTCTGTCGCCCAGGCTGCAGTGGCACACTCATGGCCACCCAAGCTTTGACCTACTGGGCTCCAGTGATCTTTCTGCCTCAGTCTTACAAATAGTCAGAACTAAAGGTGAACGCTACCACGCCTGGCTAATTTTTTTAATTTATTTATTACAGAGATGAGGTCTCGCCAAGTTGCCTGAACCCACAGGCTCAGACAATCCACTCACCTCGGCCTCCCAAAGTGCTGGGATTACAGGCTGAGCCACTGAGCCCGGCCAAAAAGTTGCATTTTTATACACTAACCATGAACTAATCAAAAAAGAAATTAAGAATACAGACTCATCCCATCGAAAAGAATATTTAGAAATAAACTTAACCGATTTAGGAATAAACTTAACCAAGGACATATACTGAAAACTACAAATATTGATGAAAGAAATTAAAGAAGAGGCTGCCAAGGCAGAAGGATCACTTGAGGCCAGGAGTTCCAGGGGAGCATAACAAGACCTTGTCTCCACACAAAATTTAAAAAGTCAGTCATGGTGCATGCCTGTTGTGCCAGCTACTGGAAAGGCTGAGATGGGAGGACTACTTGAGCCCAGGGGAAGGAGGTTGCAGTGAGCCAAGATTATGCCACTACTTCAGCCTGAGTGACAGAGCGAGATCCTGTGTCCAAAAAAAAAAAATTAAGGAAGACATAAATAAATAGAAAAATATTCCATGTTTCTGGACTGAAAAACTCAGTATCACTGAAGTGTCCATGCTACTCAAAGCAATCTACAGATTCAGTACAATCCCTATCAAAACTCCAATAGCAATTTTTACAGAAATGAATCCCAAAAGTCAACACAATCTTAAGAAACAAGAATAAAAAGCCATCATACTGCCCTAATGTATTAAATGGCTATGTTAGTTAAAACATATGGTACTGTAATCAAGATAGATATACAGACCAAAGAAACAAAATGGAGTCCCAGAAATATAACTACATCTACAACTGGGTGGGGAGGGGGGAGAACAAAACCTGGAATTTATTTATAAAAAATTGCATCTTTACTCTTACATGTTTAAACTGCAGTCACCTTCAAAGTACTCTCTGTTTGATGCAATACACCTATCGAGACACTTTTTCCACTGCCCAAAAGCATTTGAACTAGGCAATTTTGATAACTTTTGGTATTTTGTTTCACCTGTTTCACATCAGCAAAGCATTTCTCTTTGAGGACTTATTTCATCCAGGGAAACAAAAAGAAGACACTTGGGGGCAAGATTGGGTAAATGGGGGGAGAGGGGACCTGGGGGTAGTACCATTTTTGGCCAAAAACTGCTGAATACTCAGTGCAGTGTGGGCAAGTGTACTCATAAATCATCCATCATGAAATAGGCAAATGGGTTGAAAGAGTCTCAAAAAGAAATTCATTGAGGCCAAATGCAGCCTCACAACACTAGCTGGTATACTGATGCCTATGGGTTCCTAGAACACTTTCCTAGTGGGAGAAGCCTGTATTACAAGGGGCCATCCCTCCAAAAGATAATTCCATTTTTTAGGGGGTCTCCTTTGTATATGGACAACTGGTATGACAACAGGTCTCTGAAAAGACAGTCAACACTACACAATAGGGAAATGATAGTTTCTTCAACAAATAGTGCTGGAAAAACTATATGTTCAACTGCAAAAGAAGTGGGCTCTAATCTTCACCATATAAAAAATCAACTCAAAATGAATTAAAGATTTTAACATAAGATCTGAAACTGCAAAACTCCTACAAAAAAAATAAGCTTCTTGAAATTGGGCTTGGCAATGATTTCCCAGAAATGACACCAAAAGCACAAAGCAACAAGAACCGAAAGACCAATGTGACTACATCAAACTAAAAAGCTTTGCAAAGAAAAACAATGAACAGAATGAAAAGCAGCCTACAGAATTGAAGAAAATATATGCAAATCATAAAAAGTCATGTATCACTTAGTGACATGGGTATACTCTGAGAAACTCGTCATCAGGGAATTTCATAGAGTGCACTTACACAAATCTAGATGTTATACAGTCTACTATACAACTATTGCTCCTGGGCAACAAATTTGTGCAGTATGTTACTATACTGAATACTTTAGGCAGCTGTAATACAATGGTAAGTATTTGTGTATCGAAAGATATCTAAACATAAAAAGGTACAGTAAAAATACAGTATTATAATCTTATGGGATCACTAGCATATATATGGTCTTCTGTTGACCAGAATGTCATTATATGGCACATGACTGTATCTGAAAAAGGGTTAGTATCCAAAATATATATGGAACTCCTACAATTCAATAGCAAAAAAAAAAAAAAAAAAAATCTATTAACCTGATTTAAAAATGGACAAAGGACCTGAATAGACATTCCTCAAAAGAATACTTACTAATGGCTGACAGGTATATGAAAAGATGCTTGTCATCACCAATCATCAGGGAAATGCAAATAAAAATCATGCAATATAACCTCACACCTGTCAGGATGGCATTTATCAAAGAACAAGAAATAAATGTTGGAGAGGTTAAGAAATTGGAGCCCTTGTACATTGTTAGTGGAAATGTAAAATGAGGCAGTCACTATAAAAAACAAGGAAACTTCCTCAAATAATTAAAAATAGAACTACCACAGGATCCAGCAATCCCACTTCTGCATTTATACCCAAAAGAAAAGAAGCAGGGTCCAAGGAGATGCACTCTTATGTTCACTGCAGCATTATTCACAATAGCAAAGATATGGCAATAATCCAAGTGTCCACTGCAGATGAATGGATAAAGAAAATATAGTATATACATACAATAGACTATTATTCAGTCTTAAAATGAAGGAAATTCTAACATGGGCTATAACTTGGATAAACCTTGACATTATGCTAAATGAATTAAGTAACAGAAGAACAAATACCACATGATTGCACTTATATGACATATCTAAAATAGTAAAACTTACAGAAGCAGAAAGCAAAATAATGGATACTGGGGCTAGTGGAGGGGGAAAGGAGATGTTGCTATTCAACAGGTATAAAAGTTCAATTAAATAAGACAAAACGTTCTAGAGATCTGCTGTACAACATTGTGCTTATATTTTTAACAATACTGTAACGTACACTGAATGAACTGTTAAGAGGGTAGATAGATCTCATTGCTATGTCTTCTTACAAAAAAAAGGCCTTGATATTTATGTATATGCAAAGTTTTGCATAGTTTTTTTCACAGAGGAAAATAAGAACAGATGGTTGAACTCAGTGCCACCAAAAGTACTGTAGTAAATCTGTATTCTCATGAAGAGCACAATCAGGTTTCACTTAATCAGCCCTCTCTGGTAGGAATAGAGCATGACTGGAGAGCCAAAGAGAAGCCAAAGAGAGGCCCTACAGACGAATAATTAGCAGAGGAAGACCTCAAGAGGAAGATCTGGAAACTGCAGAATATATCACAAAAAGCAAAGTGTTACACAGACAGGTTCAAATCTGAATGGTAGAGTTCTCAACCATTTCAATCCATAGAACAGATAAGGAATTTGACACTGTATATACTGTGTCGCATAGCAGGTAAGTGGGAAATAAACAAACCATTTTTAGCAGCCAGTTCAACACAGTGAATAAGAATTGAGCAGGATGTTTCTAAAAGGCTTTCTGAAATCAAAATACTCTATAATAATCTAATATCCAAGAACATGTCTAGAACTAGTTTATATGAACCCAGGCCACAATTCTAATATAAGATTTCTTTTTTTTTTTTTTGCCAGACACCGTGCTAAACATTTCATATTTATTGCGTCATTTAGTATTTTTTTTAAATTAATCAATATTTTTTATTATGGTTTTGTGGGGTACAGTTAAGGGTTAGGTGTACAAATACGTTTCATTCAGGCACCCTGTTGATAAGAGGTGTTTCCCCATCCCCAGACAGATATTTGCTACTGTTAATCCCATCTCCCTCCCCCCGCATAGTTTCCCACTATTGTCAGTCATTTTCTTATAGTATTCCATTGGATGTTCAAGGTCCATTATATGAGTGAGAACATGTGATACTTGGATCTTTGTTTCTGTGAGAGGTCACTCAGTATTATAAACTCTAGTTCCATCCAGGTTGCTGTGAAATTCATAATTTTGTTCTTTTTTATGGCTGCATAGTATTCCACCGTGTATATGTAACACATTTTTTAAATCCAGTCCTCTTTTGATGGGCAGCATGGTTGTTTCCAGGTTCTTGCTATTGTGAACAACGCTGCGATAAACATACGTGTGCAGGTATCTTTTTTATAGAGTGATTTGTGTTCTTCAGGGTATATTCCCAGTAGGGGGATTGCGGGGTCATATGGAAGGTCAATTTTTAGAGCTTTTGGGAATCGCCACACTGCTTTCCACAGAGGTTGCACTAGTTTACACTCCCACCAACAGTGTAGAAGTGTTCCCTTTTCACCACACCCTCTCTAGCAGCTGTTATTTTTTGAGTTGTTGATAATTGCCATTTTGACTGGAGTTAGGTGGTATCTCAGTGTGGTTTTGATTTGCATCTCCCTGGATCAGAAGAATCAACATTGTGAAGATGTTCATCTTCCCTAAGGTAATCTACAAATTCAATGCAATACCCATTAAATTACCAACAACATTCTTCTCAGACCTAGAAAAAACAACACAGGAATTCATATGGAAACACAAATGTCCAAGAATAGCCAGAACAATCCTCAGCAAAAAAAACAAAGCAGGTGGTATCACCATACCAGACTTCAAACTTTACTATAAAGCTACAATCATCAAAACAGCTTGGTATTGGTACAGGAACAGGTATATAGATCAATGGAACAGAATTGAGATTCCAGAAGCAAAACCTCAATTTCTCAACCAACTCATCTTTGACAAAGCCCCCACCACCTACCACTGGGGAGAGGAGAACCTATTCAGTAAATGGTGCTGGGAAAACTGGCTGACCACCTGCAGAAGACTGAAACAGGACCCCTATCTATCCCCATGCACAAAGGTTAACTCCAAATGGATCAGAGACCTAAATGTAAAACCTCAAACCATAAGAACATTAGAAAAGGAAGGAAATACTCTTACGGAAATCGGAACTGGCATCCAATTCCTGTACAAAACCCGAAACCCACAGGTCATAAGAGAGAAGATAGACAAATGGGACCTTATTAAACTGCCAAGCTTCTGCAAAGCCAAAGAAACCATCAAGACAGCAGGGGAGACAGCCTACAGACTGGGAAAAAGTATTTGCCAACTCTAGGTCTGACAAAGGCTTAACATCCTGGATCTACAAGGAACTGAAACGTACTGAAAAGAAGAAAACAAACAACCCCATTATAAAATGGGCAAAAGATATGAACAGACACTTCACAAAAGAAGACATCCGAGCAGCCAACGAACACATGAAGAAATGCTCAACCTCACTAACATAAGATTTCATGTAAAGTCTGCTAGACTAACTGCATGGAGGCAAATTAAAAGACTAAACGCCAACATAAAATTAGAAGTACTAATTATTATTATTATCATCTGAAGAAGGCAGCGACATAAATATTAAATGATAGGTAAATTAGTTTACATTTTTTTTGGTCTACTATATTCCTTTCTCAACACTTTTTCTTTTTTTTGGAATTGGAGTCTCACTCCTTTGCCCAGACTGGAGTGCAGTGGCACGCACATTCACGGTTACCCCAGCATTGACCTGCTGGGCTCCAGCGTCATTCCACCTCAGCCTTCTGAGTAGCCAGAACTACAGACACGCGCTACCATGCCCAGCTATTTTTTATTTTATTGTAGATACGAGGTCTCGCCAAGTTGCCTGGGCTGGTCTCGAACCCACGGGTTCAGGCAATCCACTTGACTCAACCTCTCAAAACGCTGGGATTACAGGCTGAGCCACCGAGCTTGGCCTTCTTATTATTTTTACCATGGTTAGATTAATGTTAAATTTGCATTTCTTAAAGACAAAGGAACTAGACAATAGAGAGTACTGTGCTACCCAATTAAAAAAAAATTTTCTGGCTGAGCACGGTGGCTCATGCCTGTTATTCCAGTACTTTGGGAGATCAAGGAGGGAAGACTCCTAGAGCCCAGAAGTTCAAGATCAGACTAGGCAACAAAGCAAGACCGTGTCTCTACAAAAATTATCTGGGTGTGGTGGTGCACACCTATATAGTCCCAATACTCTGTAAGTGGAGACAGGAGGATTGCTTGAGCCTAGGAGTTGGAGGCAGCAGTGAGCCATAATGGTGTTACTATGCTCCAGCCTGGACAACAGAGTGAGAGCCCAGAATAAAAAATAATTAATTAACTAATTAATTAGAATTAAAAAGTAAACTAAAATTTTTTTTTAATTCTCAAGTCTAGTCATATGACATTCGGGGAAAAAAGGGAACGTGCATAGACAGATGTAAAGAAAGAAAATATTCTTGAATGTTTGAGGTCTATTAGTATTTCCATTCTTGTCCTTTTCAACTATACCTGATATAGTTCTTCAGGCCATTTCTGAGTCAAATAAATAGAATTTCCTTGAACAGAGGACTCATTACTTCCTATTAAGTCATCACATCCACAATTTATGCACATTATTTGAATACGAACCTCATCTGAATCCAGAAGGGCTGGAAGTGCTCTGCAGAGAGAAAAATACCATATGAACAAAGTAAAATAAAGCCATAAAAGGTTCATAAAAGATAGAATAATAATTAATGTAATTCAAAGCTTTTTTATACATATCTAAGATTTGTATCTGATTAATGGCCCTTTCGGGAAAAAACAAAAAAGGCAAGCATAATAAACAAGAGTTACAGAAATTGTACAGAAAAAACATAACATGTTCTGCAATGTGATAGAACCAATGTTTAATTAAAATCATGGCCCTGGAAAGGAACCAAAACATTTCAAAAGGCTTATCCCATTTATTTTAGGAGGATCTATATAGCCAAATCAAGCAGAAATGTCATCAGAATGAATAAGCCCAGTTAGTTTTGTTTGTCAACTATTCCTAATCTTTTAATTCTTTTTCAGTATCTTATATTCTCATTAGCATGCTCTTCAGCTCATCCATTTAAAATAAAAAGGTAGTACTATCTGGTAATGATTCAAAAACTTACACATCTGTCACTGAAGAAGGAACATTCTCTTCTACCCACTTCAAATCATCTTCCTGCTGGGAACATAATAAATACCACTTGTTACTAAAATATACCACATAATACATCTCAAGTAAGAACATGAAGGTCATAAAATCTTTAGTCTTTAGTAACTAAGGGGTCTCTGACAGAAAAGCCAACGGTTTCAATTTAAAAAATGTTTTCAATACCTTGGACCAGTATCTTCTCAATTCCTCCACAGTCCGTGGTAATTGCCACTCAACCCTCTGCTTTTATGACTTCAGCTTTTTGGACTGAGTGAGATCGTGTAGTATTTGCCTTTCTGTGCCTGGTTTATTTCACTTAACATAATGTCTTTCAGGCTCATTCATTTTCTCACAAATGACAAGATTTACTTCTTTGTAAAAAATGAATGGTATTCTATTGTGTATATATACATTTTCTTCTATCTGTTCTCCTGTTGATGGACACTTAGGGTGATTCCATATCTTGACTATTGTGAACATAGTCAATAGTGCTGTAATGAACATGTAAATGCAAGTTATCTCTTTGAAATACTGAGTTCATCTCCTTTAGCTATACCCAACAGTGGGACTAACGGATCATATGAATTTTATTTTTAATGATTTTGAAAAACCTCCATACTGCTTTTCATAATGGCTATAATAACCTACACTCCCACCAACAGTGTACAAGGGTTCCCTTTTCCCTATATCCTTGCCAACACTTGTTTTTTGTCTTTTTTATAAAAGCCACAAACAGGTATGAGGTGACATCTGACTGTGGTTTTAACTTACACTTCACTGATTATTAGTGACAAAGATTATTTTATCTACCTGTTGGCTATTTACAGGTCTTCTTTTAAGAAATGTCTATTCAGGTTCTTTGTCCATTTTAAAATTGGGTTATTTGTTTCGTGCTATTGAGTTTCTTATATAAACTGGATATTAACCCTTTATCAGATGTATGATTTACAAATGCTTCCTTCCATTCCATAGGTTGTCTTTTTACTCTGTTGTTTCCTTTGCTGTGTAGAAGCATTTTAGTTTGATGTAACCTCATTTCTCTATTTTTGCTATGCTGCCTGTGCTTTTGGGTTCGTATTCCAAAAAAAACCCAGATCAATGTCATGAAATTTTTCTCTCATGTTATCTTCCATTAGCTTTATACAGTTTCAGATCTTACATTTAAGTCCTTAAACCATTTTGAATTGATCTTTGTACAGAGTGTGAGATAAGGATCTAATATTATTCCTCTGCATGTGAATATTCAGTTTGCTTAGCATCATTTACTAAAGAAACTGTCCTTTATTCATTGAGTTCTTGGTACCTTTATCAAAAAAATCAACTGGCCATAATGTGTGGATTAAATCTCTGCACTATCCTGTTCCACCGGCCTTTGTGTCTATTCTTATATCAGTACTATACTGTTTTGATTACTATAGCTTTGTTGTATATTTTGAAGTCAAGTAGTGTGATGTCGCTAAGTTTTGTTCTTTTTTGCTCAAGACAGCTTTGGCTATTCAGGGTCTTTTGTGGTTCCATATAAATTTTAAGATTGTTTTTTCCATTTCTGTGAAAAATGTCATTGGAATTTTGATAGGGATTCCACTGAATCTATAAATCCCTTTGAGTAGTTTGGACTTTTATTTTACTTTTCTCTTTAAAGATGTGGGGTACAATTCAGAATTATGTATACAAATGGACATCTTACAGGTAAAGTTTGGCCCTCCTTTTGGTTCCTACTTTGCCTGGTTTGAGATCAGTACCTATATTGATGTGTTCTCTCCTACACCCTGGCAGCAGTATCCCACTACTGCCAATTCTTTTCTTATAGTGTTATGGTCAATGTTCAGGATCCGCTTATGGGTGAGAACATGTGACACTCTGTTCTTTGTTTCTGTGATTGATCAGAGTATTACTGACTATAAATCCATCCAAGTTGCTGCAAAGTCCACGTTTGTCCTTCTTTATGGCTGTGTAATAATCCATAGTGTAAATGTGCCACATTTTTCTTATCTAGTCCTCTTTCAATGAGCAGCATAGTTGGTTCCATGTTTTTGCTATTATGAATAGTGTTGCAATAAACATCTATGCAGGTATCTTTTTTGTAGAATGTTTTGAGTTCCTCTGGGTATATCCCAGTAGGGGATTGCTGGGTCATATGGAAAGTCAATTTATAGTTCTTTTAGAAATTGCCACACTGCTTTCCAAAGAAGTTGAACTAGTTTGCATTCCCACCAGCAGTGTAGAAGTGCTCCCTTTTCTCCTCATCCTTACCAGCATCTGTTGTTGTTTGTTTTATTAATGATGGCCATTCTTACTGGAATTAGGTGGTATCTCAATGTGGTTTTGATTTGCATTCCTTTAATGATTAGAGGTTGAACACTTTTTTCATGTACCTGTTGGCTGCCTATATATCTTCTTTTGAGAAGTGTCTATTCATGTATTTTACCCACTTTTTAATAGGGCTGTTTGCTTTTTTCCTTTCAACATGTTTGAATTCCTTGTAGATTCAGGATGTTAGGCCTTTGTCAGGAATATAGTTGGCAAATAATTTTTCCCATTCTGTGGGCTGTCTCCCTGTTCTCTTAATTGTTTCTTTGGCTTTTCGGAAGTTTTTCAGTTTAATGAGGTCTCACTTGTCTATCTTATCTCTTATGGCATGGACATCCGGATTTTTGTTTTTTTGTTTTTTTTGAGTGGAAGTCTCACTCTGTCACCCAGACTGGAGTGCAGTGGCCGCTTCCGGCCACCGCAGCCTCGACCTGCCAGGCTCCGCCGATCTTTCCGCCTCAGCCTTCCAAGTAGCCAGAATTACAGGCATGCGCTACCACGCCCGGCTGATTTTTCGATTTATTGTAGAGATGAGGTCTCGCTGCCCAGGCGGGTCTCGAACCCGCGGGCTCAGGCAATCCACTCACCTCAGCCTCCCAAAGGCGCGGGATTACAGGCTGAGCCACCGAGCCCGGCTTTTTTGTTTGTTTTTTTAAGTTGGAGTCTCACTGTTACCCAGGCTGGAGTGCAGTGGCACACTCACTGCCACCCCAGCATCAACCTGCTGGGCTCTGGTGATCCTTCCACCTCAGCTTTCCAAGTAGCTGGAACTACAGGCAGTGCTACCATGCCTAGTTAATTTTTTATTTTATTGTAGAGATGAGGTCTCGCCAAGTTGCCCAGGCTGGTCTCGAACCTGCGGGCTCAGGCAATCCACTTGCAAGCTCAGGCAATTCACTTGCCTCAGTCTCCCAAAGTGCTGGGATTGCAGGCTGAGCTACAAAGCCTGGCCTTCTTCTTGGATTTTGATCAGGAATTGGTTACTTACTCTGATTTCTATAAGGGTATCTCCTGTATTTTCTAAGATTCTTATAGTTTGAGGTTTTACATTTAGGTCTTTGATCCATTTAGAGTTGATTCTTGTGTATGGTGATAGGTAGGGGTCCTATTTCAATCTTCTGCATGTGGTCAGCCAGTTTTCCCAGCACCATTTACTGAACAGGTTCTCCTCTCTCCAGTAGTTGTTGGTAGAAGCTTTGTCGAAGATGAATTGGTTAAGAAATTGAGGTTTTTGCTTCCAGAATCTCTATCCTGTTCCACTGGTCCATATGCCTGTTCTTGTACTTTACAAAGTAAATGAAAGAGAGAGGGAGGATTCACCTCCCCAGGGCAGAGGAGCGGGGGGCAAAAGACAGGAAGCATGGCAATGGCCATAGTCTAGTAAGGCAATGGCCCCAATGGCCTGGCAATGGTCCCGTAAAGACATTTTAACAATAATTCTTTCAGTTTATGAGCACAAAATATCTTTCCATTCATTTGTGTCTTCTTCAATTTCTTTCATCAATGCATTATAGTTTTCAGTGTCCACAGGTCTTTCATCTCTTGGTTAAATTTCTTTCTTTCTTTCTTTCTTTTTTGTAGCTATTATAAATAGAACTGTTTTCGTGATTTCTCTTTAGAATAGTCATTGTTAATGTATAAAGACACTACTGATTTTTGTATGTTGATATAGTATCCTTTAATGTTACTGAATACGTTTCTTAGCTCTGAGAATTTTTTGGTGGAATCTTTAGGGTTTTCTATATAGAAGATCATGTTGGAGGGGGTTGAATAATGAGAAGTTACTTAATGCATATCATGTACATTATTTGAGTGATGGATACACTAAAAGCCCAGACTTCACCACTATGTAATATATTCATATAACAAAATTATACTTGTAACCCTTACATTTATACCAAAAAAAAAAAGATCATGTTGTCTGCAAACAGGGACAATTTAACTTCCTTCATTACAATTCGGATGCCTTTTATTCCTTTCTCTTGTCTAACTGCTCTGGCTAAAACCAAATACTTTAATTTCTAAAACCATTAAAAAAATTTTTTTAATTTTTAAAAATTTGAAATCACATAAGAGAATTATAATATATAATGATATCCTACATTCTTTTGTTTGTTTTAAGAGATAGGGTCTCACCAGGCACAGTGGCTCACACCTGTAATCCCAGCAATTTGGGAGGCGGAGGCAAGAGGATTGCCTAAGCCCAGCGGTTCGAGACCAGCCTGGGCAACTTGGCGAGACCTTGTCTCTACAATTAAAAAAAAAAAAAAAAACCCAGGCATGGTGGCACGTATCTGTAGCATCAGTTACTTGGAAGGTTGAGGCAGAAAGATCCCCTGAGGTCAGCAGGTCGAGACTGCAGTGACCATGATTGTGCCACCGCATTCCAGCCTGGGCAACAGAGTGAGACTCTGACTCAAAATAAATAAATAAATAAAAGAGATAAGAGTCTCACGCTGTCACCCAAGCTGGAGTGCAATGGTGCAATCACAGCTTACTGTAGCTTTGATTAGCTAGAAGTACAGGTGTGTGCCACCACACCTGGCTAATTTTTTACATTTTTTTTGTGGCGACAGAATCTCACTATGTTGACCAGCTTGCTATTGAATTCCTGGGCTCAAGCAATCCTACCACCTCAGTCTCCCAAAGTACTGGGATTACAGGGATTACTGTGTCTGCCCTATATCCTACATTCTTAAATGTTTTCCTTTTAGTGGTCTAGTACCTTGAGTTTGCTTCATTCAGCCTTTGATCTTTAAAACTGAGATAAATTCCAAAGCCTCCTAACATACAGTGAATGCTCAGTTTTAATGAAAAAAAATCTCCTAATTAAAAAAATCTTGGTCTTTACTACAAAAAAGACCTTAGATTATTAATGGGGCTATGATTTCATTGATGCAGACCATTAACAGAGCAATCAGACTGGTCTGGCAATTTTTCAGACCATAGTAGCAAACCATCTAGGTAAAGATTACTAAATCTGAGACTCACTTGCTATCTGTTTTCAAAAATGTAATATATATATTATATGTAATATAATATACATTATATATTTATGTATTTTATATCTATTTATAATATATATACATAATAAATGTATATATATTTATTTTCTATTTATAATATATATACATAATGTATATACATGTATGCATATATAATCTTTTTTTAGAAACAAGGTCTTGCTGTCTCCCAGGCTGGAATGCAGTGGCAGGACCCATAGCTCAACACAGCCTTCAACTACTGGGTTCAAGCAATCCTTCCAGGTCAGCCTCCAGTGTATCTAGGACTATACGCATGTGCTACCACACCCAACTAATTTTTTTTTTTTTTGTAGAGACAGGGTCTCACTATGTTGCCCAGAATGGTCTCAAACTCCTGACCTCAAGTGATCCTCCTGCTGAGCCTCCAAAAGTTCTAGGATTATATGTGTAAAGCACTTGCGCTCAGTGTTATATATATTCAAAGATTTATAAAGCAAGTCTAATTATAAAACATGTACAAAAATCACTAAGTCCTGCAAATAATTGGTGAGCTGTGCCAAGGGCTGGAAGACAGGGCAAAGATCAAGTGGAAAGGAAGTCATACTTACCACTTTGTTTATTTTACTATTTCCATTGGGCTCTTGTTTAGTACTTCTCATTTTCATTCCCTCTATTAAAAGAAAAATGTAGACTGTTAACTTTGTCAATAAACCAACAATAACTGCAAAAATAGATTCAGAGCTCTTAAGCTCACAAACACTTGTGAATTATACAATAGATGTTTCTCCATCTTTAGATTTATGCTGGGAAGTTCAAAGCTAAATTTTCAGCTTACTTCTAACAAGTAAATAGGATGCTTAATTTGCAATTATTTACTGAATTTACCAAGGCTTCATCTTAAGATTCACATCTTTATTTTTTCTTTACCCAAACTTTAACCCATAGCAAGTTTAGGAATAATTCAATAAAATAAAAAACAATGTACTTATATAAGAGAGTATCTAAAGCACAATAAAAGGTGAATTTTATTACTACCAAAGCTTTCTTTCAGCATAGGTTCCTTCTGTTCATCCTCCTCTTCTTCCTCAGACAATGGTGAAAAGGCAAACCTGACAGAAGAAAAAATTAGAAAACTATGAAAACTGCTCTACTATCTGGACTTCACAAAATTGTTTTGTGGGGTTGAAAACTAAAGGCCACTTACACAGGCAGTATGCAATTATAGAAATTTACAAAATCAATTCATTAAATAACAAAGCTTTCCCCTTCAGAAAGCTCCTCTGCCTATATTAGCAAAGGGGAAGCAGTACAGTATCATATTTATGAGTACAGACTCAGCTACATACTACCTGTGTCCTTAGACAAGTTAATCTCTCTGTACCCCCAATGACCTCATCTGTGAGGAAATAATAAAACATTACCCACAAGAGTGTTTTGTAAAAAGTCAGTCATTACAAATAAAGTGCTTAGAAAATACTAACACATTTAGTAAGTTTTCAACAAATGTTCATTTATAAGGATATATAATCACACAGAGTTAAGTAAGTTATCATATAATTTAAAATCGCAGTTTCAAATTGAGATATGTCAGTATGTAATAAAAAAATTATGCCTTCCCAAAGAGAGATCTGTCCTTTGCCTTGAGACTAATGGGAGGTGATTTCTAGGTCCATAAAATGTCCTGCCTGAAGGGAATGTCATTGTTTGCCTGGGCCTCTGACTGATAGACAGTCTGACAATGTGGCTTATGATAGGGCCTTTGGGCCATGTCGTATCGGTTCTGACTTTCAGAGGAAATTGAGACCAAAGGTATTAGTCCAACTGTTAGTGGGGTTGGAAACTACAGGCCAGCTGCACAGGCAGTATGTGACTGAGCCCCAATAAAAAATTCTGGACATCTAAGACTCAGAAGAACTTCCCCAGTTGGCAAATATGTGACTCTGTGTACACACTGTCACATATTTGGCTGGGAGGAGATAAAACTGTCCAATAAAAATCCTGGGTGCTGAACATCTAATGGACCTTCCTGGACAGAAACAATGTACCATATTACTACATTTTTATTGCTGGGGAAAAGAGCATACTTAATGTACTTGTTAAAAAGAGGACAACATAAAGAAAGAAAATAGGAATTTCTCCAGACTACAGGAGATCATAATTTTGTTGTAATAAACTTTACCTGTAAGTATAACTATATGCTTAGTCCCATGAGTCCTTCTGGTGTATCAATAAACATACAGGTGGTCTTGAGGACCCTAAAATACCTCAAAATGGAAATAGTCCAAATGCCCACTAATAGGGTGAATAAGTTAATTTAACTGTACTACGTATGTACCACCTAATAGTATACCATATATGAAAATAAATGAATTCAATTTAAACCAGTTATGTTAGAGGGACTTTCCACAATGTACTGTTACAAGAGTAAAAGAAGATTCCATATTTGAGGAGGGAATGAAATCCAGGAATAATGTATACCATATTAAGTGGGTAACACTGAAGTTATGGGGGAATAAGGGCAATGTTTTAAAAGAAAAGAGAAAAAGAAAGAAGAAAAGGATGGAAGGTAATGCAAAAATTTTTTGAAGGATCAAGGGAGGGAAAAATTTTAAATATAAATACAGTTAGCAAGTAACCAGAAGTTCAATAGGCTGATGAAAACAAGGGGTCTCCAAAGTGTCTAGGTTCTGAACAGTGTGATTTCAGATCTCCTTTTTTTCTTTCACAGCTTTTCTCTATTGTTTGGTTGCTTTTTTTCCCAATAAAAATATATATGACTAGACACAGTGGCTCAGCACTTAATCTGAGCACTTAATTAAGTCTGTAATCCCAGCATTTTCGGAGGTCAAGACGAAAGAATTGCCTGAGCTCAGAGGTTCGAGACCAGCCTAGGCAACTTGGTGAGAACTCTTCTCTACAACAAATTTTTTTAAAAAATTAGCCAGGCATGGTAGTGCACGCCTATAGTTCCAGCTACTTGGAAGGCTGAGGTAGAAGGATCACCTGAGCCTAGCAGGGGCTGTGAGCAGCATGTCTCTGCACTCCAGCCTGGGCGACAGAGTGAGACTCCCACTCAAAAAAACTAAAAAAATAAAAACATATAAAGTGCATAGTTTGAAATGACAAGGCTTTTTTCACAAGGTAAAAGGATGTTACCTATTTTCTCTCTCAATCTTTCACTGGTATGTCTGATTAAAAAATTAGCTATACCATTAGTTATACCATTTTACCCTTTTCCCTCTTTGGTGGTGTGGTTGTTTAATATAAGTTTTCAACTGTCTAACTGTAAAAGAGTTGGGGAAAAAGGGAAAAAAAGGCACAGATATTCACAAAATAAAGACAGGTAGTTCTTAAATAATTGGGATTTATGTATAGTTAGACAAATCAAATTCGCATGTGAATTTTTAATTTCAAAGTTAGTCACATAAGTTTTCATTTTATCCTTTCTATGTTATAAAGTGAGCTAGGCTGCTGACTACAGAATTTTTCTTTTCTTCTGGCCACTAGACAAGACTTTCATTACAAGTGACACAATATATCTGCCTCCTTTATTTACTACATAAATACTTACAGGCATACCTTGTTTTATTGTGCTTTAAACTTTAGTGTGCTTTGCAGATACTGCATTTTTTGTCTTAAGATTTTTGGCAAGTCTATCGGCAACATTTTTCCAACAGCATATGCTTACTTTGTGTCTCTGTGTCAGCATTTTTAAGCAATATTTTTTAAAAGTATGCATACCTGCCGGGCTCGGTGGCTCAGCCTATAATCCCGCACCTTTGGGAGGCTGAGGTGAGTGGATTGCCTGAGCCCGCGGGTTCGAGACCCACCTGGGCAGCGAGACCTCATCTCTACAATAAATAAAAAAAAATCAGCTGGGCGTGGTAGCGCGCGCCTGTAGTTCCGGTCACTCGGAAGGCTGAGGCGGAAGGATCGCCAGAGCCCAGCAGGTGGAGGCTGCGGTGGCCGGGAGCGGCCACTGCACTCCAGTCTGGGTGAAAGAGTGAGACTCCAACTCAAAAAAATAAAAAATAAATAAATAAAAATAAAAAATAAAAGTATGTATACTTTTTTAGACAATGCTATTGAGTATAAACATAACTTTTATATGCACTGGGAAACCAAAATCTTGTGTGACTCACTTTATTGCTATATTTACTTTATTGTGATGGTCTGGAAACAAATTTGCAATATTTCTCTAAGGTATGCCTATATATTATTGCTAAATGTCAGAGTTAAAAGGGTCCTCAGGTTACTTGGCTTAATCCACCCTCCACCATTATATGGAAAGGAAACTAGAGCAAGAGAGGTGAAAAGAGGCAGCAAGCCAAAAATCACAAAGCAAGTTAAAGGAAATCTGAGATACAACCCAGTTATCCTGATTCCAGGTCATGTTCCTTCCACCATAAGACACAGCCCTGCCGGGCTCGGTGGCTCAGCCTGTAATCCCACACCTTTGGGAGGCTGAGGTGAGTGGATTGCCTGAGCCCGTGGGTTTGAGATCTGCCTGGGCGGCGAGACTTCATCTCTACAATAAATCAAAAAATCAGCCGGGCGTGGTAGCGCCTGCCTGTAATTCCGGCTACTCGGAAGGCTGAGGCGGAAGGATCGCCGGAGCCCAGCAGGTCAAGGCTGCGGTGGCCGGGAGCGGCCACTGCACTCCACTTTGGCCGATGGAGTGACTCCAACTCAAAAAAAAAAAAAAAAAAAGACACAGCCCTGACACTGTCCCCTAACACACCACCTCTAATTGATGACATGGCCATTTAATGGTAGCAGAGTAAATAAGAAGAGTCCAAGAACCTCTGGTTGTTTGCAGATGGTCGCCAGAGAACCATGATGACAAAGAGGATCATGGAGAACAGCAACCGCCAGATGGCATCATCCACCCATAGCTCCCGCCAGTCCTAAAATAAGGGGAAAAATACATTTATATACATTATCCTAACACTTTGTTCACAAAACCCTTGGTATAGAAAAGAATGACTCACTTATTCATCAAGTTATATTTACTAAGAGCCTGCTGAGTGCTTAGTTCTGTTCTAAATGCTGGGGAAACAAAGTGAATGAATAGTTTCTTCCCATGTAGTGCTTATTGGTGTTAAAGAAAAGGCACCAACTAAACAGAGTATTTGTCAAAGCTTCATGATAGCTCTGAGAATCTTGAGGGAAGGGTTTTATATAGGGTAAGAAAAAACTACATTGGGTTGTTGTATTTTACAATTTTCACTTTCATTTATTTATTTTTACCAAAACAGAGCCTTAGCTGCCTCTAAAGAAATCCTACTAGCCACAGTCTTTGAGCTCGGGTCTTAAGGACATGGCTTCTATTCAAATGAGTATTATTCACACATATGGTACTTAATATTTAATACTCAGGACTTCTTATTTAGGATTTTTAGTTAACCCAAGACTGTATAACAGACTGTACAGTTAACAATTATAAAATTCTCTCCCAATATTGGGATATATAGTCAGATAAAACAAACAAAAAACCAAGATACCAAGCACCATGATAGTATAGAATACTTAGGAGGAAGAAAGTATTATAACCCTCAGAGTGGAGACCTAGCCCTCATATCTTATAAGGTGCACATAATGTAAGAACCTTACCAGTGTCATCAGCATTATCATCTGTGTATAATATAGCACACTATTCATTAATGTGTATGCTTATAACTTACCGACTGACACGTCACTATCCTGAACTTCATGGTTGTCCAGATGATAAACACAATAGATGCTAACAATAAATAGAAAACCTGGTCAGAGTAAATATGCTGGTTTACATCCTGATTATATTCCCCCCACTTCTAGTTAAGTGAAATTCCATACACTCCAAACTCCCAAATATATCACAATTATTTTCTTCAGTTATTTTAAAAAGTGAATTCAATTCAAATTTACTAGACATTTACTATCAAAAAGGTCCATGGTACACATTTGGCCAGACTTGGTGGCTCAGCCTGTAATCTCAGCACTTTGGGAGGCCAAGGTGAATGGGGTTGTCTGAGCCTGCAGGTTTGAGACCAGCCCAAGCAACTTGGCGAGACCTCTTCTCTACAATAAAACAAAAATTAGCTGGGCATGGTAGCATGTGCCTGTAGTTCTGGCTACTTGGAAGGCTGAGGTGGAAGGATTGCCGGAGCCCAGCAGGTCCACACTGGGGGGAGTGGCCGTGAGTGTGTCACCACACTCCAGCCTGGGCAATAAAGTGAGACTCCAAGCCAGGCTCGGTGGCTCAGCCTGTAATCCCAGCACTTTGGGAGGCTGAGGTGAGTGAACTGCCTGAGCCCGCGGGTTCGAGACCCGCCTGGGCAATTTGGCGAGACCTCATCTCTACAATAAATCAAAAAATTAGCCGGGCGTGGTAGCGCGCGCCTGTAGTTCCAGCTACTTGGAAGGCTGAGGTAGAAGGATCGCCAGAGCCCAGCAGGTTGAGGCTGCGGTGGCCGGGAGCGGCCATTGCACTCCAGTCTAGGTGACAGAGTGAGACTCCAACTCAAAAAAAAAAAAAAAAAAAAGAATAATTTTATAAACATTTTATAAACATTTTGTCATCTGGTTACTTCAGAGAGTCTCAGAATCAGAAAATAATGTATTAGAAATATAGCTTTCTCCAATATTATCAATGCAATTGTTTATCCTTCTTTTATCCTTAGTTTAGTAAAGATAGTTTTTCTTTGGCTAGTCAGATGAGAAAAAATGGTTGATAAAATGATTGCAACACAAAGAGAAGAGCCAGTTCCAATCACAGATAAAACCTTGTCCTGGTTCAAGGGCCAAAAAGTAGACAAATTAGCCTACTTTCGCTACAGTCTACCTAATGTTTATATTTTATGTATGCTTACTGACATATATAAAAGTACTACAACAGCAATGTACGCTAATCTAAAATTCTATAGCTATTTAATAACACCAAATAAGCATGTGGTAGTGTCTTCTAGAAGGAATTTAAACACTATTTGACACTGAAGCTAACTTACTTCAAGAAAAAGAATGCTTCAGAAAAAGAATAGATATAGAAGAGGGATATACTAAGAGCTAAATTTATATGACATTGATTTTCAGCTATAATATATAAAATAAATGGCTCTTAATTTTTTAAAAACCATACATCCCTCTGAAAATTTGACAAGAGCTAAGAACCCCTTTCTCAAGTGAAAAGTCCAAAACTTTCTATACTCACCCTTGGCCTCTCAGGTTAAGAATCTCTATTCTAAATGAATCACATTCAAACTGCAGGAGGAAAATCCCAGGCTTACCTGCCACTGCCAAGATAAGCGTGTTGGTGAAATGTCGGTACAAAGAGAGTTTTACAATGTTCCTCCGAAGTTTTAATAGCTTCATTGTTTGAGTCAGGCTAATAAATATGTGTTTGCAGGTCAAGGAATTCAACATTCAGGAAAAAAACACATAAGCTAGTAAATTAATCTTCAGGTTTCTTTGAGGATCTAAGGTCATGCTAATAAACTTATGGATCTCAGAAGCCTTACCTCTCTTATTCTCACTAATACCTCAAGATTTATAAGAGAGTCATCAATTTCAATAAGACATTGAAGAGAAGACAGAACCAGGGTAAAATAAGAATGTATAAAATAACAGGAAGAGAAAACATATTTTAAAAATAAATAATATGAAGAGGCTTTCTAGAGAAACAGAAATGAAGAAAAGAAGAAACAGAAAGACAAATGACATAAGAGGAAATGAAAATAAGTAATAGGCAAGGGACAACAAGTTACCATCATCTTCTCTCTTCATTTAAGGTGAGTAGCTCTGTTCTCATCCATTCCAGTTAATCTAGTTTAGGGTCATAATCACACTCATGCCTACAACTTCCCCAAGTTCTACACTCAGTCCCATTGTGCCATCTTAAAGAACTTGCCATCAGCTGCCTGCACTACCCTGAGTTAAGAGGACCCTACAATTGGCTGAGAATGCCAGGCAGTTTGGTTCCAAAAGCAATGACTCTCTACTTTCAGAACATTATTCCCAAGCAGAAGTTGCCATGAATCAATATTTATTCTGAAGGACGGAAGTCTTCAGACAATTCCAAGTCAGCTTTTGAATGAGGGAACAAAACACCCTGTAAGGATTAAAACCTGCTAACTCTACACAGAGTTTACAAGAGTCAAAAGTTCCTTAAATCATATTTTAACAAACAAAATCTTTTTATAAGTTTCAAAGCATTTATTAATTGCTAGAAGCTAAAAGAAAGAGCAGGACTAAAGCAGCAAGTGATTCTAACACTAAGTGATTAGTACACAAATTACAAGTGCACAATCAATTGGAAATGCTCATTTAAAAGAAAAAGTCAGAAGTTTTAATCTTATACTCACTTCACATGATTGACTTCTGATGTGATTTTAAAAATAAAAGAAATGAAAACATAAAAACTGCTTACCTGAACCTTCAGATTTGTTAAGACTTAAACACTATTTCACAGACTAAAGAGCAATCAACAAAACTGATAAAAACTCTTTGCAGAAAGATCAGTGGAAACCCATCTCCAAGGGGAGAAAATGGACCATCATCAAACAAGCCAATGAGAAGGATATCCACCAGCACAGGGCAGTGTCTAGGAAAGCCAAGGGGATAAAGGCCAAGGAAGCAAGATCAGTCTGGGCCTGCAGACAAAGAAAAAGAGGTGGTGAAAAACAGATGTCTAGAGAGGCACGGAGAAGAAACCAGCACATAATTCTGCATTTATATAATTACCAGGAGCAGTTCTGCATTTAAACTGACACTTGGCACTGTGTCAGTAAAGAACTAACACTTGGCACTGAATCTTTCTTCCCTGTATACAGCAATAGCATTTCACAAAATCTGTCAGTTATAATCTCAATACAATGAAACATTCCAATAACTACCAAGAAGTAACTACCACACAGTTTCTAGCATATAAATATCTATGCTAAGAAGTGACCACATTCCAAAAAGGTTCTAGTGTTTATAAGCCCCTAGTCCATCCTATCCTATTATTTCCTATTACTGTGATTTGCCTACAAGTCTAAAAGGATTCTTCTCATATTTAAAAAAAATACTGCATCACATAGTAAGAATTACTGATTTCCAGAATAGAATAGAATTTTACAAACAAGAGCCCACCCCCAAATAAAATGTAAGGTAGTTATCTATCTGAAAAACTATGCTTGTTCTACAAGTTTACATATAAGATGCTTTTTATATAACCCTAATTACCCAATCACCAGGGCATTATTAAAAGGATATCCATAAAATAATACAGGAATCAATTGTAGAGAGGGTCAAGCTTACTACCAGAGCCAAGGGATAAGAAAAATACTACAACAGCAGAAAAAGAAAGAAACAAAATTGACAGAGTGTTAAAGTTGCTAAAAGTCTAAAAAAATTACACACAGAGGACAGTGTGATTTGAACAACAAATCTGCAACTACAAAGTGTTTTATTTAAGGGGCAATTCATTGCAAAATTTACTAAGCCCAGTTTTCTTGAGAGAAAAGACAAGTTTATAGTATTTACCATCTTGAATCTAACAGGTTATTATAGAGTCTGATTTTTAAATAAACTAAAAAATGAACTAGAATGGTCTAGGAAGGCCTACTTCTTCACATTAATCCAGTTCTATCACAAATTTCTTTAGTGCTTAGATCTCAGTGCTTTGGTTTCCTTCCCTGGCAAAGGAAATGCTTATGCGAGTCTCAAGAATAGTGTGAAACTTTATTAGTTGCATTTTAAGGTAGTCTTTGAAAATGAAGTGTTGATTAAGCAAAGAGCACTGTTGCTTTAAATCAGATTAACCAGTAAGTGCATGATTCCAATGCTTGCCACTTATACAAGAATAAGAGTCTATGGTTTGGGAAGAGAAACTAAATAATTATCAATATGGGGACATGTGGAAAAGTATTTCTTCTGGGTCATACACTAAATTTATAAATCACTAATAGACAGATTACAAAGAAAAAGTAAACTACACACACATTTAAAAAGTCAGAACCCAAAGGTGATTTAGAACAAACGGTAAAAAAGCCTACAGGCATTTCCAATTCATGCTCTCAAGATAGAAACAATATAACTGAAATGATCACAAAAGTTCAGATTAAGCAGTACTGACCCCAGTAACTCTGAGGACCCCTTCCATGCCAGAGAACAAAAGATAGAGGGCTCCTGCTACCACAACCTTGTGAAGAGTGACTCCAAGACGCGGTCTAAAGAGGAAGCAAAGAGACAGATGAGTACAAAAGTGACAAACCCCAAGGCAAGCTAAGTAACAGGCACTCATGTTAATAATCCAAGCCAACAATTTAAAGTAATAAACAACTATACACTTGATTCACCTAAAAGAAAAAAAACCTCATAAGAATATATAGTCGTAAAACAACATAGGAAACATCAGAACTTAAGATCTGGCTGCTGGTTACTGCATTTTTGAAAACGTTTTATTATAGAGAATTCTGAAGTATCAAGATTTTCAAACACAGTATAATGAACTGTTATAAATCCATCACCTAGTCCCAACAACGATCAACCTCTGGCCAATTCTGGCCCAAACATATTCCATACATTTCTTATCCTTTCATATTAACTTTAAGCAAGTCCTAGACAACATATTTCTGGATTTGTATATATTTTAGTATGTGCTTTTAATAGATGAGGACTTGGCCAGGTACAGTGGCTCACACCTGTAATCCTACCTCTCTGGGAGGCTGAGGCAAAAGGATTGCTTGAGCCCAAGAGTTCAAGACCAGCCTAGGCAATATGGTAAGACTTCATCTCTACAATAAATCAAATAAACTAGCCAAGTGTAGTGGTGCATGCCTGTAGTCCCAGCAACTTGGAAGGCTGAGGCAGAAGGATGAACTTAGCAGGCTGAGGCTACAGTAGCCTTGATTGTGCTACTGCACTCCAGCCTGGGAAACAGAGCAAGACTCTGACTCCAAAAAAAAAAAAGATGAGGACTTTTTTCTTCGTATTTCAATAGCTGCATATGAGATTTTTAAAAAACGTAACCAAAATACCATTATCAAAGCTAAAAGTTTTGGCTAAACACAGTGGCTCAAGTCTGTAATCCTAGCACTTTGGGAGGCTGAGGAAGGATTGCTTGAGGCCAGTTCAAGACCAGCCTAGGAAACATAGCAAGACCTGTCTCTACAAAAAGTCAAAAAATTAGCCAAGCATGGTGGTGCACGCCTGTAGTCCCAACTACACAGGAGGCTAAGGCAGAAGGATCACCTGAGCCCAGGAGATCAAGACTGTGGTGAACCATGATCATGCCACTGCATTCCAGCCTGGGCAACAGAATGAGACCCCAACTCAAAAAACAAACAAACAAAAAAGCTGAAAATGTTAATAATTCCTTAATATAATCAAATATCCTACTGTAGTTCATTAAACAAATAGTATATTTGTAAGCTCAAAGCCCAACAAAATATGAAAAGTCTTTTAGGCAACTTCTGTTTAAAAGAGGAAAAGCCTTAAATTATTGATATTCAAAATCTTAATTGAATCGGAATCTACATTTTAACAAGATCCCCAGATAATTCCTTAGTGTAATATAGTTTGGGATGCACTGCCTTAAACCTCAGCTGTCTAAGCCATACCAATACTTGATCTTATATTTTTTGTTATACACTAGGAAAAGATGAGCAGGAAATCCTCCCGCCCCACCACTCATCTTAGAAACCTAGCCTGGCATATAGAAGGCACTCAAATATTTGTTAAAAGAAAAAATTTTAAGAATTAAACCCCCTCATTCCTCTAACCCCATTTAAAAGCAAAACCTCTTTAAATAAATAAATTTTAAAGATTAACCCCTTCCACTATTTAATCCCACTCAAAGCAAAACCCCTTAAAGTAATCGTCTATACTTGGCTAACTCCAATTTCCCTCCTCCTATTTCCTCTGGAAGTCTCTCCAATTGAGTTTTTGTCCCTAGCACTTCACTAAAATCATTCTTGTTATGGTCACTAAGAACCTCCAGGTAGTTAAACCCAATGGTCAACTCTCAATCCTCTTACTTGATCATCTGACACAATTAATCACAACCTCCTTGAAATACAGTCTTCAGTTTGTATCCCACCTCACTGGTCACTCCTTGATTTCCTCTAACTCTACTTCACCTCAGACTTCTAAATAATAGAAAATGCTCAAAGGCCCAGCCCTTGAACTCCTTCTCTATAAATACTCACTTCCTTGGTGATCTCACCCAGTCTCACAACTGTAACATCTACATCTTGATGACTTCCAAACTTTTATCTCTGCCCCAACGTCTCCCCTTTGTCGCCCCCATGTGGTTTTCTAACTGAACTGCAACTTTGCCTCTACTCAAATTTATCTCTGCTAAGGTCTTCCTGAACTCAGTAAATGTCATCAATTCTATCCTGCCACTTGATCAGACCAAAACAGGTGGCATCATCTTTGATTCTTCATCTTGTTCACATCACACATCTGATCCATCAGCAAATTCCATTGGTTCTGCCTTCAAAATATACACAGAATTTGATCTCATCTCACCACCTCCTCCCCTGGGTACACATAGCTCTCTCACCTCCTTGAGGTCTTTGCTTAAATGCCATTAACTGAAGCCTTCCTTGATTACCCTACTGACAACTACAGGCAGCATTCCCTGACTCCTTTCCCAGCATTATCTGCTCCATTGTATTTTCCACTGACATAAAGATATTTTACTCACTTATTTAAATTATTTAAATGTCCTCTCCCTGCACAAGTCTTTTGTTTGCTTGCTATATCCCCAAGAACCTAGAACAATGTCTGAAAGAATGTCTATAGAAGACACTCAATAAAAATTTTTTGAATAAAAAAATTTTCTCAGACAGTTACAGCAAGAATGCTTTTCCCATTAAAAATATGATTTGCAAAATATTTTGCAAGAGTAAAGTCACTCAGGCTGGACAGGGTGGCTCATATCTGTAATCCCAGCACCTTGGGAGGCTGAGGCAGGATGATTGTTTGGGGCAAGGAGTTTCACACCAGCCTGAGCAACAAAGCGAGACCCCCATCTCTGTATGGAAAAATTAGCCAGATGTAGTGGTGGCCACCTGTAGTCCCAGCTATCCAGGAGGCTGAGGCAGGAGGATCACTTGAGACTAGGAATTCGAGGCTGCGGTGACCATGCCACTGCACTCCAGGCTGACAGAGTGAAACCCTGTCTTTAAAAAAAAAAAAAAGAAAAATAACGAAGTCCCTCTACAAATTTGGTGTTTTGATGTCACTTGTTACACTGCAATTTTTCCTGCAGATGCTCCTTCTAAGAAATGAAATTAAACACGAACATTTTTCAATATTTATAATGCTGCAATATTTTAGATATCTTCTCCTACTTCAGAATTATTTCTCTTATCAACACTTTCAGAACTACTACATTGGGAACTTGTAATACTGTTTCAATTTAATCAGCATTTTAATTTGCTCTTCCATATAGGAAGTTAATACCTACTTGACTATGCCATATCCCAGACTGACTATGATGACCAGGGTTCGAGCCAGTGAGCGCTTCACTGCTGAAAGCAGCTCTGCAAGGATCAGGGCACCTTGGACTATGAAAAAGAAGAAAGAGAGAAGTAGCACAATAATCTAGGTTTGGTAACAGGCATGAGACCAGGACCAGAATGCAAATCTCTTAACATGCTTCAGAATAAGCATTGGTATTGCTACCAAAACAGAACATCTCTTCTGCAATTTTTTGTAAGTACACAAGCTGATATCACTCACCATCTTACTCAGGTGTAAGTATGGCAATCTGGCATGCTCAACTCAGCTCCCTCCCCCACCTACCCACTCCAACAACTTCACTAAAACCTTAACAGAATACCTCAGACAATATGGATAGTTTATAGCATCAAGGGAATTCCCCCATCACTTTTAACAATGATGAAATATAGCTACACAGAAAAAGCACATCATAGGCACATGTGCAGGCATGTATAGTTTTCAACTCATTCTCACATCTATTATTTTCAAAATTTTTCAAAGACCAGGGAAAAAAATCTAATTAGTATACCTTACAGCAATACTTACTGCTGACGCAATCAGATAGTCTGATAAAAAAATCAGTGAAGTGATTACCAAAAATTTCATTATAAAACAATTTCTAGCTGGGTGTGGTGGCTCATATCTGTAATCCCAGCACTTTGGGGGGAACAAGGCCGGATGACCAACTTGAGGCCAGGAGTTCAAGACCAACCTGGGCAATAAAGTGAGTTGCTGTTTCTACAAAAGAACTTTTTTTTAAATTGGCCAGGTGTGGTGGCACATGCATGTAGTCCCAGCTACTTGGGAGACTAAGATGGAAGTATTATTTAAGCCCAAAAGTTCAAGGCTGCAGAAAGCTATGATCGTACCACTGCATTTGAGCCTGGGTGACAGAGCGAGCGAGATCCTGTCCCTTAAAAAAACTAAAGTTAAAAAAAAAAATTTCTGTCATAACGAGTTCACCTTACTAAACCATAAACAACCTATCTTCTTGATATTAGTATATTTTATCAACTCTTAGTTGCACTTCCCCTCACGTTTTAAGATCTTTGAAATCAAGGTACACCTTACAATAAATAGCATCTTCCAATTAAAATGGCATTGTTTACTTCTTTCTTGGATGTATATCATAATGGTGTCTTAGAAATCAATAGCAATTGAGATATGGTGATAGTAATAATTATTCCCAAAATGGGAACTGCTTCTTAATTATATGAGCATATTTTGGTAAAATTACTCTTACATCACTGAATTTGTAAGTTACAATATTAAAAACAAAAGTCAGAATCACAGTGATATTTTCCTTTAGTTATTCTAATAATTAAGTAATTAAAAACTAAGACCTATTTAGTGAGTGCAGATCTTGGAAAATTTTTCACACAGCTCATCTTCCAATCACTCAAACTGCCAAAAGTTTTTTGGTTACATACCAGATTCTCCTTTGTATCGGATATTCTGAAATTCTGCATAGAAGACTGCTTTCTCAAGCATTCCCAGGAAGATGACAGCACCAATCCAAAACTGAATTCTTAAGAGATCTCTCCAGTAGCAGGCAGACCATGCCAGCCACAGAACACCAAAGAGGACATATACAATACACATCACCATGAAGAACTGTCATCAAATTAGGTAGAAATAAAAAGGAGAATTAAGGCTAAGAGTCAAGTATCTAGGGTTAGAATCTTAACTTTTTTATAGTCTTTTTAACTTTTTTTAATAGTCTTAACAGACTACAAAAATATATATTCTATCTTCTATTTTAAAAATAAACACAAAAAGAATTGTCTTGAGCAGAGGAAAACGACATAAGAACCTAAGGGTGACTGCTATCCTGTATTAAAAGAACTTTCTCAGCTCACAATTTAAAACTATATAAATGAAGACAACACTGAAGAGGAAACAAGGCATGACAGGGTAAGGATACATCTAGAAGTATGGAACATAACAAAATGAGAAAACTATTAAAGGGAAAGGAAGAAAACAATAATGAACAAAGGGAGTCTGAAAACTGATTTAGATATTCTCAGATACAGATGTATGCATACACACACACACACACACACACACACACACACACACACACACACACACACACACACAATGAAGGAGGAAGCTTCATAATTTAAGTGGGATCAGAAATGATAGAGTTATACTAAGAAGTGTTCTGGTATGGATCCTAGAGAGAATGTGAGATGATCTCTGAGACACTTTCCAAGTCTAAACTCCTTAGGTCACTGATCTCTTTCTTCATTTCACAAATAAGAAAATGAGGGACACACAAGGTATATTGACTCTCTAATGGTTCCAGTCTAATAAGAAATAAGTCCAGAAATACAGCGGTTATTTTCTCAACTGTATAGGAACAAATTTTTAAAAAAGAATATTGCTATAAAACATGCAACAAAAATCTTTCAAACTAAACTCATTTAATGCTGAAGTAAAGAACATAAAGTCACTTACAATCATCAAGGGATAGTCTTCAAGTGTGAGGTATTCATAGGGACCTTTCACTTCAACAGTCACTGCCAAAATACAGTCCTCAGAATTAATTTAAAGGATGCAGAACTATACAAAAACATTGTCAACTATTTGTTTGATGGAATTAATGAAAATTTCATTGGATCATTTACTTTTAGCCACTTCGATCCCAGTAAATATTATATTACATTTGTACAGCCCTTTGAAATTCATTAAATGTTCTCATAGTTCATGCTGTGTCCTTCACAGGCTTCTTTGCCTCTCGCTCCAGTCTGAAGTGGGAAAGTTCTTTTGTTTCACACTCATATCCTTTAAAGACTAAACTGAATGATATTTCCCCCATATAGCCTTCTCTGGCTGCCCATCTGAACTATTCAACATGTGCTCTCAATTTATACACATTTCATATATACCTTTTCTTACAACACTTCACTAAAATATGCTTTATAGGACTTCCTTTCCTCATTCTACCACCTGTTTGTTTTCTATCCTTTCTTACCTATATTCTCCTATTGCTTTATTTTACTGTCTTCAATTTTATGTAAATTATTTTTAAAAACATAAAAATTCATTTTAACTCACACAAGTAATATACCCTCCCCAATACAATGCAATCCAGCTTCCCAATCACATACTCTAGACCCTCACTTCAAGGTGGAAATGACTCAAAAAGTTCAGATTGGAAGCATAGCACCTTCCAATAATCACATAGAATTGAACTTTCCCAAAACTTGCTAGTTAACATTTGTCAAACAACTTGCTAATAACAGTATTTAATGAGGCAGAAAAAGTAAAAGTCACAACATGAATCTAAAAAGACAGATTTGCCTTACTAAAGCAAAGGTACTGACTAATTTTAAGATTATCTATAATTTAAAAAACTATTTTAATGTTGATTATATTAAGATTATAACTAATAAAATGATCTGGATAAATTCTAGGTATAATAAATAAATAGAAATCTGATTTACCTGAGAAGTGATAATCTCCAGAGTAATAACTGCTCGTTCAACACAAACTCTCTATTAGTTTTCTTTAATTATTTTTATTTTTTGAGTCAAACTCTCACTCCATCACCTAGGCTGGCGTGTAGTGGCACGATCATAGCTCACTGCAGCCTTGAACTCCTGGGTGATCATCTTACCTAATACTCTTGAGTTGATGAAACTATAGGAAGGAATGTACCACCACGCCTGGTTAATTTTTTTTATTTTTTGGTAGAGACATGGCCTATGTTGCCCAGGCTGGTCTCAAACTCCTAGGCTCAAGCAATCCTCCCACCTCCACCACCTGCCAACGTGCTGGGATTACAGGTATGAACCACAGTGCCTGGCCCCTACTAGCTTTAAGACAGGCAAAAGCAACATACCATTATTGAAAGTAAACCAGGTCCAAGACTTGTATAAAAAAAGGGAGCAGCCCATAATAGCAATCATACAATTTTCAGAGCAGAACTAAATTTTTACCTTACTAATTTAATAAAAGAGCAAACAAAATAGTAAATATTTGTGTCATATTCTTTGCTTACTCTATGCCAAGGGTCTGCACAAGACAGCACATGAGACAAATCTGGTCATTCAGATTTGTTTATTTATTTATTTTTCTTTAAATAAAGTTTTATTGGAATACAACCACATCCATTCATTGACGTATTGCCTATGGCTGCCTCTTTATCACCATGGCAGATCTGAGTAGCTGCAAGAGAAGAGGCGCTATTTGGCTCTTTAAGAAAAAGTTTGCTAATCCCTACTAGCCCCTGCCATGTGCTAAAATATAACATACATTTACTGAGCACTTACTATGTGACAGACCTATGGAACACATAGCAGATAGAAAGATGACTAAGATGTTTCCTGCCATCTAGTAGATAACCATCTAGCAGGAGAGAAGAAGTTGAAAAGTAACATAGAGAACTATTCCTCTACGACAGACATGGAAGGATAAGTATGTGTTTTCCAGGACAAAGTAATAAGCCTTCCAGACAGAGGAAATGATACGACAAATACAGATATAAAAGTGTATAGTATATTTAAAGAACATATAATCTGAGACTGCACACAGTACCATATAGTAGTGATATTTTAACATAAGGCAGCAAAAGTAAACCAGAACACGTTGTAAGGAGTTTTATAAACCTTGCTGCAAAATGTGTACATTTTACTGGCAGTGGGGAGTCATCAAGGGTTTCACTGAAGACAAGAAAGATGACGAAACTGTCTTAGAGAGATAATTCTAGGATTTTGGATACTGTGGTTAAGTCCATACCTCGTCACCTCCAAACAACGAATGGATAAAATTTTTTTTTTTTTTTAATTGGAGTCTCACTCTTGTCGCCCAGACTGGAGTGCAGTGGCCATTCCCGGCCACCGCAGCCTCAACCTGCTGGGCTCCGGTGATCCTTCAGTCTCAGCCTTCCAAGTAGCTGGAACTACAGGCGTGCACTACCATGCCCAGCTAATTTTTTGATTTATTGTAGGGATGAGGGCTCACCAAGTTGCCCAGGCAGGTCTCAAACCCGTGGGCTTAGGCAATCCACTCACCTTAGCCTCCCAAGGCGTGGGATTACAAGCTGAGCCACCGAGCCTGACTGGATAAAATATTTTTTAAAAGAGAAAACAAAAAGAACAAAATGAGCATTTTCAAGAATCAAAACTCAGCAAAAACTCAGAACAGTACATGAGGCTGATGCCATGATCATGTTGGGCTCTGGGCCTCAGAGCAGGCTATGGTAGTTGGAAGTGCAGTACCTATGGGATCACTGAAGCTAGTAGGTTTCAAAGAAAGAGAGGAGGGATCAGAGCTAGGTTGATGCATGAAGAAGCTGAAGTGGAGAAGAGTGGAGTAGAGCTTCTCTTCCATTTTTTTCAAAGAAAAGAGGCTGAATGTACACACTGGCAACTGCTCCTTGAGACTATTACCCATTAGAAAGTCATGGGCCTAAACAAACAGAAGGAAACACATACAATCTGGGGCCTCAGAAATTGTACCAGGTCACCCACCAGTTTGCCTAGCTCTACTGTACCCACATATCAGCTCTACTGTACCCACATATCACTGTGGAGCATAATAAGACCCATTTTTGTATTGGGAGATAAGCATCCAACACAAGCATCATTTTTTTTAAGTTTAAAATTAAGTCAAATGAAAGAAAATAATAAATATAAATGCAGAAGTTGATGAAACAAAGAAACAGTAAAATTAATAAAACCAAAAACTGGATCATTGAGATAAAAAATAAAATAAAATTCTAGAAATATTTGACAAAAAGAGATGATACAAAACAGTATTAAGGATTTTAAAAGGCTATACATGGCTGGACACAGTGGCTCACACCTGTAATCCCAGCACTTTGGGAAGACAAGGCAGAAGATCATTTGAGCCCAGGAGTTTAAGATCAGCCTAGACAACATGAGACCCTATCTCTACAATTTTTTTTTTTTAATTAGCCAGGTGTGGTGGCATGCACTTGTAGTCCCAGTTACTTGGGAGGCTAAGGAGGAAGGACTGCCTGATCCCAGGAGTTTAAGGCTACAATGAGCCATGATTATACCACTGTACTCCAGCTTGGATGGCAGAGTGAGACCCTGACCCCTCCCCAAAAAAATGAATAAATAAAAATAAAAGCCTACAGATATAGCAGACTTTGTAAAGAACATCATAAGTAATGTTGTCAATAAATCTGAACTCTTAAATAAAACATACAATTTCTCAAAGAAACAAACAAAAACCCTCATTCAAGGCAAAAGAGAAAAACTAAAATACTTATTACTATGAAAGAAAATAAATCAGTTGATTAAAATCTATCTGGGGGAAAAAAAGAACATCAAATGGAAACAACAGGAAATAAGACTAGTATTATAGCTGAGTTCTATCAGACGTTCAAGGAATGGATAACCCTACCCTTACAAAAATTGTTTCAAAGAAAAACTATTTTACTGTATGAGACTAACATGACTTGTATGCCAAACTAACAGAAGACTATGAAAAAATAAAATTATAGGCCAATCTTACTTTGAACATAAACAACAAACTTAGTAAAATACTAGTGAGTAGTATCCAGCAATGTATATGGATATGTATACAAATGTGTGTGAGTATGAGTGTGTGTGTGTGTGTGTGAGTGTGTGTGTCTCCATCAAGACCAAATAATGGTATCCTAGAAATTCAAGAATGGCAAACCATTAGAAGTCCAGTTAAAAAAAAAAGTCCAGTTGATATAAGGCAGCACTATATTAACATATTAAATGAAAAAGCACATGTGATCATTGTAATCAATATACTCAAACTATCTGATAAAACTGATTATTCATTCTTAATATTTAAAAAAAAAAATTACTCTTAGAAAACAGGCACAGAAAGGAACTTCTTTAACCAAAGAATATTTTGAAAAATCTACAGTAAATCTAATACTTTACTGCCAGTAAAGTCAGGGGATGGCTGCCATGATTTTTTCTAGTCAATATTCTACTTGACAAAATAGGGTAGGGAAGGAAACTACAGAGTAGAGAAAAGAAACAGAAAAATAAACCACAGGAAATAAGACCAGTTAGGAAGTTACTGCAATATTCTAGGTAACAGATGGTGACTCTATGAACTAAGCAGTAACAGTGGTAAGATCACCTTAAAAAGTCTTGAGACATAAAACATACCAATGTTATTAATTTAAAATTTTCTGAGTTTTGACTTGGTGGCCCAAGTTTTGACAATCTAATTCAGAATACTGACAACATGATATTAATTAAAAATTTAAAAATCAGGAGGATCAAATGAAAGAAAATGAAATCTAAAATCTGTAATAACTAGCAAGAAAGCATGTGGGAAGTACATGCATGACATAACTAGACAATAACACAAACATTAAAAAGAAATGGCTTGAACTTACTGGTAAAAAGATTACTTAGTGAATTTTCTTTTGATGACTCCTTTGAGGATGAAATGCCAATATGTACAATAAAAATGTATGGTGCATCTTGCCAAGTTTGCAATGGTTCATGCATTGCCTAGAGAGGGAAAAAGACATCAGATCTTCAAATCTTAACAATTAAGAACACATGTTAATAATACAAAGTGAATATTTTGCTCCAGAATGTAACCAGGAACACAGTAGAGTCCTTCACTTTTACTCATTAAAACAGTTGGCACAACAAACCAAACAAGCCAGCAGTGCATACAGTGAAGTAGGCTGGATTATGAATTACTAAAAGGCAGAATATTTCATATCTTATATACACAGAAATCACATTTAGCATGTTTTTACAAGGAAAACTTCAATTAAAAATCACTAAATTGTCGGGCTCGGCGGCTCAGCCTGTAATCCCGTGCCTTGGGAGGTTGAGGTGAGTGGATTGTCTGAGCCCGTGGGTTCGAGACCCGCCTGGGCAGCGAGACCTCATCTCTACAATCAATCAAAAAAAATCAGCCAGGCGTGGTAGCGTGTGCCTGTAATTCCGGCTACTCGGAAGACTGAGGCGGAAGGATCGCCGGAGCCC